GAATTGGAAGTATTTTGTGTCTGCCCCCCCCCATAACTGACATTCCAGTCAATTCCAATATTGTATCTTGTGGAGTTGCCAGAGGATCCTTGGACCAGAAAAATGACCTCTGAACAGACAGAATCTGTCCATACTTGCTATAAGTGAAGGTGAAGCTAAACAGCAGGAATCAAATGTTTCACAGGATCTTTCGATATCGGAAGAAGTCTTACCTCAGCAGCAGCCTTTAGCTTCATGCTAATGTAGAGATTTGAATCATCCCGATCACCAACCTTTGGGAAAGGGGAGGGAGGGAGAGGAGAGTCAGCTAAGTAAGACAGAAAAAAAAACTTATTTCACTTATACTGATTCAAGGTTTCGACACTCGCATCCAGAACCCTCCACAGTTTGGGCCCATGTTACTTGTCAGAGTGTCTCTCCTTCATATCATCTGCCCAACCCATAAGATCATCCCAGCCAAGGAAGACTCATAAATCCTCTACAAGAGGTAGGGCCTTTTTCGCAGTGGCTCCAATTTCATAGAACCAGCTTCCGGAGGAGCTCCGCTTAGCCCCCTCCCTGTGGACATTTAGGTAACAATTAAAGACACTGCTTTTCAGGGAGGCTTTCCACACCGACCCCAGCTGATCACCTTCTCTCCACTTTTTCTTTCCCCTCCCTCCCTTTTCTCTTTTCCTCCATCTGCTTTGGGGATCAGTCGGTGCCATCTGTTTTTTAAGGGTTATTGCTGTTGGTTTTAACATCACTATTTTCATTTTCTCTTATATGTGTTGTAACCCACCCAGAGTTGTGCTGTGATACTAACGGGAGCAGGATACAAACTGAATTGAACTGAATTTAATTGAATGAATGGAATGAATGAATCAATGAATAATACTATGCTTTTCTTTCAGGAAATTCTTGTGCGGCTCACAGGGGCCTCTAATACAGACTGCCATACAAATGAAGGAACAAGCCAAGACACATTTGGCATGAACAACATGGCAGCAGCATATGACCTCAGCCAAATTCTCTGGAAAGAGGCCTTGTACTGGACTTTAATTTCAACATAGCTTCCTTCTGCCAGGCTAGATTCTATTGCGCTGTGACACAGTACAGAAAATTTTATCAAAAATTCTCAGGGTTAAGGAACGTTTGTTTGATATTCCTGTTGGGGGGAGGGATTTGGGATCCGGTGGAAGGGTTAAACCTCTCCATTTTATACTACAGCAACCAGAGCCATTACCAGCAAAATGACTCAAACTGCAAAATGTATGACCTCAAGTTGATTCTGAAGTCTGAAGTTGTGTCGCTAGTAGGATATTGATTTTGGGTAAAGTGGTGGTCGGTGGTAACTCCATTTTCACTCTGAGGAGCTATCCAAAATAAATTTGGCACCTTAGATACTCCCTTTGAAATAACGAGAAAACCTGGAATGGCTTCACTGACGCACAGAAATCAGGGGAACCAAGATCCACTGGGTCCCCGCAGTGATATATGGAAATTGTAAGCTGTATTCAAGACCCCTTCAGCTTGGGTAATACATACCCAAAATAAATGTAGACAGTACCTGCAAAATTGCAAGGCCCGGCCTGAAACCAGGTGCTTTTGCCTTCATCTCTTCCACCTGGTTCTTCAGTCTCTGCCTTACTTGCCTAAAACAAGAAAAAAGAGCTTACCGTATTAATCACAAATCTTGCAGCAAGCACAGATAGAATGCTCCTGATGGAGGCAGTATGACTCAAAACATTGGTGTTTTGTTTCCTGACCTTTGTAGCCATGTTTGCAAGTACAGGCTCTCACTATTCACTGATGAAGAAAGGGGGAAACTCTGTATATGTTCAGGAGTGCTTCTGTTTACTATTTTATTCCCTGTTCCTATAATTAAAGGACTGAACAAGTAAGAGAATGGTGACAAAACAAAACTGAAGAAAGTAGCGTAAAGGATAGAAATGGCCTTTAAAACATCCCTGTACTTTAACCGAGAGAGAGGCATCCCAGGGGAGATACTGCTAGAATGACAGAGGAGTCATTTTCAGTCCTTGGGTTGAATAATAGCTATGTAAAATTAAATGTAAGTTAAAGTAAACAAGGCCGACCTCAGAAGAACTGATGCTTTTGAATTGTGGTGCTGGGGGAGGTTCTTGAGAGTCCCCTGGACTGCAAGGAGAACAAGCATATCCATTTTGAAGGAAATCAAACCTGAGTGCTCACTGGAAGGACAGATCCTGAAGCTGAGGCGCCAATACTTTGGCCATTACATGAGAAAAGAAGAATCCCTGGAAAAGACCCTGATGTTGGGAAAGTGTGAAGGCAAGAGGAGAAGGGGACGACCGAGGATGAGATGGTTGGACAGTGTCACCGAAGCGACCGACATGAATTTGACCCAACTCTGAGAGGCAGTAGAAGACAGGAGGGCCTGGCGTGCTCTGATCCATGGGGTCATGAAGAGTCGGACACGACTTAACGACTAAACAACAATGACAACTTTCTCTAATGAGCACAAGAAAGGCTACATGAGTCTTCTCCCTGTCTCCCATTTTATGCTGACAACAACCCTGTGGGGTAGGTAGCTCAGGCTAGGAGAGAATAAGTAGTCTACGGTCATCATGTGAGCTTCCAGGCTGAGTTGAACTTGCATTTGCCAAAGCCAAGCCTCCACCCTCCACTAAAGAGAGAAACTGAGATTCATTCTTATATAAATTGTGATATATTAATGCTTCCTTCTTCTTTATGATATCGCTGATCTAGAAAGCCAGAAATGGGAACATTCATTAATTCATTTAAAAACTAACAACCGGGAAAGACCAGAGTGAGGGAAATATACAACAAATCAGCCAGCACCTCTTACAGTCAGTCTCAAGGTGCAAGCCTCTATCTTGTTATATGAGTAATAATCACATTTTAGTGCCATCTGGCGAGCATGAGGTGCAACTGCCAATATTCATGCAAGGTAAAAATGGGTTTCAAAATTTTTGGCTGGTAGATTCGGATAACATTTGATGAAATACTTGTGAAGATCTCAAAGGACCAGCCTGTGCAAAAGCAAAAACCCAACAAAGCAATAATTCTAGGTATCACAAGCCCATCAGCAACTGTAGGGATAGAATTGCCACTTGTTTCATTACCATGTAGGAGAAGAAGGTGCAAACATTGTCGCCTTGCCTCCAAGAGGGTAAGTACTGCCAGTCTTGGTTAGCGTTCTTGCATTTGTGAGAGCGATCTTTACAGAAAATGTACAAAATTATAACAGCTGCTGCCCGGGTGCAAGGACTTCTAAAAATCAGAAGCAGTGGATAGATTTGTATTCGCGAAGGCTTTCACGGCCGGGATCTAATGGTTGTTGTGGGTTTTTTGGGCTCTTTGGCTGTGTTCTGAAGGAAGAACCACCTTCAGAACACAGCCAAAGAGCCCGAAAAACCCACAACAACCAGTGGATCGATTGTTTCCATCTTTCTGATATACCTGTCAGTCCCTTTCTGCCTGCCTAATATGTGCATTTTGCTTCACAAATGGAAGAGATGCTTGTTTGCACAAATATCTTGCCCAGATTCTGGAAAGTACAATTTAAAAAAACCAAACTAACATTTTTGTCTCACCCTCGCTTGGTAGTCAGAAACCAGTGTGTGTAAGATGACTTTATAACCGGCGGTGTGAACCTTCTTCAAGACAATTTTCCCCCCACATTCACACCAACAAATTAATTCAAGTTTGGAAATCCAGTAGAAGTCTCATGTTTGATGATAGCTTCAAACTGTTATGATGGGTCGGTACATAAAAATCTAGGGCTGGGATATTCATGTTGATGCTCAGGAAATAAAGTTTCTCCAATCCTGAATAAGCCAGGGTGTTACCCATGGTTGGTATCAACCCCTGGCATGCTTGACTTTCTACAAGTACTCCAGGATGTGTGACCTTAACTTCTTCCTTGTGGCCTAGGATTCTAAACTGCCCTGGGCAGCTATACTGTATCATATTTTCGTTCTCCCTTAATGCACCTGACCTAGCATTTGCTCTGGGGTACCAAGGGAAAATTTAAAGGATGACTAGGCCTTACTGTCAGCACAACCAACGAAATCTGCTTAGCCTCAACTTGGTGATGGAGCAGCAATTCACACATCCCATCTGCTCAGGCTTCAGAACCAGAATAACCATATTTTTCCACGTATAAGACTATACTTTTGTCTAAAATCTTTAGACTAAAAATTGAGGGTCATCTTATACATGGAAGTAAGCTGAGGATAGAACAAAAACAAATGGAGGGGAAAGCAGGGATCAAAGTGATCCTGCAGCGCTTTGATCCCTTTTCCCCCTACACTTGCTAAGCCCCACTTAGATTTCTTAATTTTGGATTAGAAAAGTGGGGGGCATCTCATACATTGGGGTGTCTTATACATGGAAAAATATGGTATTCCTAAATTTTGCAAACACAGACTCACCCACACCAGCCCTGTCAGCAATTAACATCTCCCGCATTAGCTTTTGTTTCACGTTTATTCCCTTTGATTTGAGGGGGGAAAGGGAAGAGTAGAGACAGAAAAGGACATTTGTTCCAAATGAATCATAAAATCATAGAATCATGAAGGTGGAAGGGGCCTATAAGGCCATCGAGTCCAGCTCCCTGCTCAATATAGGAATCCATATCAAAGCAGATCTGACAGGTGGTTGTGTAAATTTCTCTTGAATGCCTCCAGTGTTGGAGCACTCACCACTTCTCAAGATAACTGGTTCCACTGTCGTACTGTTCTAACAGTTAGGACATTTTTTCCTGAGATTCAACCAAAATCTGGCCTCCTGTAACTTGACTCCATGGTTGCATGTCCCACACTCTTGGGTTGATCGAGAACAGATCCTGCCTCTCCTCTGTAGGACAGCTGTTCAAGTATTTGAAAAGTGCTATCCTATCTCTCCTCTGTCTATTTCACAGAATCTCGCTAACAGAGATTCAAACTTTTCTACCTGTAACATATTACTTTTTCACTCCATCTTCCTAGAAGGAATGCTGGACAGTGGCCATGGGGGTCATCCCATTTTGTCCTTTCCACAACACTGTGAAGGAATTCAAGCCGCAAGGCAAATTCAGGCCCATGATTCTACAAGGAACTTGGTTAAGCGGAAAAATGATTCTCAGGCTTCCCTAATCTAAAGCCATAGGGAACACAACACATTTCCATCTCTTCCAGAAATGTGCCATTTCAAATTGATCAGCCTCAGCTGCAGTCGTAAGAATGCAGGCCACTAAAAACCAGACATTCCCAGCAAAGAAACTTAAAAGTTGCAACAGGAAACGGAAGGCGGTGAAAGCATACCAAATACAAGATCTTCTGCTTCATGGATTACGTGAGCATCCTGGTGCAGCATGTAATTGAGCGCACATGAGACTTACGACGGACAATCTCGTGACTTTCCATAGCTCGGTGGGGGAGAGCTATGCTTGGAAGCTAATCATCCTATCCCAACAGCTTTACCAAATAACACAGCTCCTCTCCCACTTTTCCTTTTTATTTCTAGCTTTTAGACTCTGGTAACTGCCTCGACAACAAAAAATGCTTGAGTGCAACGAAATGAGGTGCTCTTCCCCAAAACTGCCTCGACAACAAAAAATGCTTGTGTTTTCCATTGCTCTTGACCCCAAAACTTAGCTTGGGGTTTCCAGTGCCCAATCAGAGGTTGCCTAGGGTTCGTTTCTCCACGTGAAGAGTGCCTACAGAGGTCAAGACCAAAGCTTCACCTCAACAAGAAGCCGAAGGGAAGAGACATGTTGGATCTCACGAAAGGCCCAATCTACAACTCTATTCTCACAAGGCCAAGTAGATGCTGGGGGGAAGGGGGAAATACAAGTTAATACACAAGCAAAGTAATAGGCTCCTTATGTTCCTCTGTAAACGGTACCAAAAGACAAGCCATCATTTGACACTAGAAACAAGCATAACCATCATGACTACCAGCCACTGACAGCTCCATCCTCTCAGGAAATCTGTCTAATCCACTGTTAAAGCCAGCCATGTAGTTTAACTACATCAAATCTCCTATCATTCAGCTTTACTCCCTCAAGAGGTGTTTTTACTCAGTACCAGCTGCCCTGACAGGTAGGGCTGGCGAAGACACGATGCGGGGTCTTTTCGGTGGTTGCTCCCAGGATGTGGAACTCCTTCCCAAAGGGAGGCCAAGCTGGCCTCCTTCCTGCTGTCCCTTCACTCGGCAGGAAACGTCTTTCCGTAGGAAGGGACTTTGACAGGCGATGCAGTGGGCAAAGATTGTTCTGTTGTAAATGACCATGTGACAATTAACCGGTCAGCCAAAGAAGGAGCGTTAAACAGCACTTTTGTAACCTTTAAAACAAAAATTAGTCAGTGGTTCTCACGTGAAAAATAATGTGCTGAATCTTCATTAACCATTTTGCTTCAAGAATATAAAAAAACCCAAGTTCTAGTAGTATGGGAAAGGGCAAAACCCTTCCAGTTTACTTTCCTAAAAATGAACACATTTATTGTGGCATCGGTTTTTGAAAATTAGAGCCAGTTTCCTATATCTGATGAGATGTATGCTGTATCTTTGTTGTTGCTGTTTAGTCGTTAAGTTGTGTCCGACTCTTCGTGACCCCATGGACCAGAGCACGCCAGGCCTTCCTGTCTTCCACTGCCTCCCGGAGTTG